ATAGCTTTGTTACACTTTCACTCAAACTGGCGCGGGAAAACAAATTTTCTCAAACAAGCGTGTCTTCGCTTCTCGGAAAACTTTTCTTTCCTACGACCGTTTCAGGACCATTCAGGATTATCGGATCGATCTAATCGGATAATCGCATACTTATCCTTGAATATGGACCGCATCCGCCTCTATCCAAGGCTCTGAAACGAATTTGCGCAACACCGTTTGTTAACCGCTAAATTAAGTACAAAGAGCTCTTCGCGCGGCGCAGCTGATAGAGATCTTAACCTACGAACTAGCCCGGAACCTCGTAGGATTGATTTCGGGTCATGTTGGTGTGTGTGTGTGTGTGTGTGTGTGTGTGTGTGTGTGTGTGTGTGTGTGTGCGCGCGCGCGCGCGCGCGCGCGCCGTGTGAATCGAAGACGGTCGCACAAATGGGTCAGGTCACGCGGCACTGCGAAGAAAAGGGTGACCATCAATTAGACAATACTCTTTCGTGCGATTCCGTCACCGCACCGTTTTGTCTACTGAGCACCGATAAATGTGAGCTGTCCGTACTTTTGAGCCGATCCGTATTAATGGCGCGGACACGGACGTAACAAAAGGAGCTGTTTGTCGTCGGCGCGGCGAGGCATCATCTTTCAGAGGTTTTCATCTTTCCACGGAGATAATAAGAGTGAAAAAAAAAAGAAAGAAAAAAATCCGCAATGTATCGCGCGATACGCAATTAACCGTTCGCGCTGGGATTAATAGCAACGATCGGAAATATAAAATCGGCCTCGAATGAGTTATATCGCACATCGGCTTTAAGCGACATAGCTCTTAGCTGAGATTCTCCTCGTCTATCACGCAATTGTTCACGCACACCGTTCCGCGATGGTTCTCCGTTTTATTTATCATCCTATTTATCGTGCAAGATTGATGAGCGAGCGTTTTCGTCGCGGGCAAACGGGCTAAGATTCACCACCGGCGCATCGTAGCAACGGCATTTCCAGCGGGGAACGGGAAACGAACGGAAATTCGAGCCCCGTTGCGTCGCGAGCAATCCGGTAATCCGGGACAGTTTAGAAAATGGAAACGTTATCGCGTTTTCTCCACGCTTTTGTTAATATTGCGGCGACTGTGACTGCCGTGGTGCTACGGGGTAAAATAATGTTCTCCGTCTGTCGTGCGCGCTTCGATCCATAAATGCACACGGGTGGCCGTGAACAAGAGAGAAATATCACGGAATGGACTCGCACATTTATTCTCCGGTTCCCGGACTGGAAACCAAGCGGCGCTTTCACGCGTCGTATCGCGCGCACTTAATCCTCCGACGTTCTGATCGCGCAGAGATATATCGCGATTGAGAGAGCGTGCCTCGTTATTCCTTCCTTGCGTATACGTTCATGACGTTCTCCGAGTGAAATCAGATTTTACCCCGTTTCCGTCGCATTAGTTTGCGCAGTTGCGGTTCGACGTAATAATCGGAAACACGAGTACGACTTCGGCACAATCGCGGAACAATCGTCAATTTAATAATCCGAGAACCGATGTGCAAGAATGTCGTTTGCGCGGAATCCGCTCGGCTTGCCGGCGGTTCGCGATGGCCGATTGTATATTTAGCGATAATTGTAAACAAATGAAGCCAGGCCCGATCACGTCAGATGGAAGCCTTATTGATTAACTGTATACTCCAACTGTTGTAATTTACGCTCTTCAGATTTTAATTAAAGGCTCGATGTAGCAATTAATCGAAATTCACGTTATTATCAGCCTGGCAAATTTTGTGATTAATTTTAATTGTTACAACTCTTTCGTCAAATTTGTCCGGTTGTAACTCTTTCGATTATGAACGGCTGGATTCAGAGATTGCGTATATAATAATAAATACTTTGCATTCGTGAGAAACTTGTAAGTATACTTGTAAGAATCTATAACATACGCGCATTATCAAATATTCAATCGCGGATACGTGGCGATGTAAATATGATTGGATATACGAGAATGTTTATTTATAAGACAAAGAGAATTGGCGAGTAATATTTGTCGATTAAAAAATAAATTTTTCAATCGACTGACTTTAAGCGAACCTACTTAATGATCCTGCTTTTCGCGCAAAAAGTAAACCAAAATTTGACTTAACGCCGAGGCTAAAGGAGACGTTTAAGTTAATCACGGGAATATTCGAACTAATGCCATAAAGAAAATAATTGAGTGTAATGTGTGTGCGAACGGTTAACGGACGATAACGACTAATAATTTAGGACGGAAAGTATCATGGCATTGACTTCCTACGCGCTTCCAATCTCCACTGAATTATTTATTAACGGACGGCTATAGCCTGAGGCACGACCCAGCGATCACGTTCGTCATCGATAACTATTTTTGGACGCATCCCGAACACAGTGAAAATTCAAACCAATCAAGCTCTAAAGGCGTTCAATACAAAATTCCTGCGCGAGGAGGTTTTTATCGGACTTGCATAACGTACATAGATGCAATATCGCTAAAGCCTCGTATATTTATCAGAAAGATAACTTCGTATTATAATATCGTTTGTTAATCGATGGTTCTATCGATGTCCTCAGATTCCACAGATATATAATATATGTATATAAAAAAAAAATCGAGAAACACAGAGAAATAAATGCAACATGCGGCGTGCGTTAATAGTCTTTTGCTGTTGCGATCGATACAACATGTATGCCGTGGATCTCTGACAAACAAGCTTTCGATATAGCAAGGCTATATACTATCTACACAGCTACGCTTGTCATTCATGAAACTGTTGTTGTTAAATCAACATGCATCTTCTGAAAATGTGGGCACCGTCCTTATTTCACGCACATTTCAGATGCCGTTGCGACACCAAGGGACGAACGATGCTTGATTGACTTGACAATCTGATTAGAACGAATCTGCAAAGAAGCTCCCCAGGTAATGCGCTTCCGCGTGATTCTTTCTATTTCGATATCAAGCTCGTCCCTCGCCCGATAAAATATGTCAAACAACAAATTCCTCTGGATTAGAGAAACATCATTTTTCAATGTTCACATTACCATAAAAATTGTGGGAAAATTATTAAGGGCTATTTTACACGATCATCCGACACCGAGAAGTTTCTTTTCTAACAACCGACATGGAAGTATAAATCGAGCGTTTTCAAGGATAAAGTCTAAATTTAAAGTTTCCATATCGAAATCATCTAGACATAATTTATAAAGTTCATAAAGATAAAAATTATCAGTTGTTTATCGTACTAAAAAAAAAAATTGCAAACTTATTAGCCGAGTTAACCGCGAGGCTAACTCCTTTTATCATTTAAAATTTATGATGTTCATAGAGAAAGAGAAAAAGAGAAAGAAAGAGAGAGTGAAATTTTATTTCGCGTTAAAATTTCTGAAGAGATTAAAGCCTTTGAGTGGAATATATTAGTTCGCCTGTCTGCTATGTAAAGCCGCGGGGGTTTTTTATTAAACGCTCGCATGGTTCTACATTCAAAAACACTTTATCCGTCAGACTGTCGGAAATTCTGCGACTTGTCTCAGAGATGTGTTGTCGGAATGAGCTTCCGAAAGCCCGCTGGTTCGGGCTTTCCCGCGGCGTTACCATCACAAAAGCGTCGACTATCAATTGTACAAACACGCAAAGCACGAATAAAACGCTACTGAATAACATCACAATTATGCGACTGTACTTTCCAAGACCTACCGCGATTTCATATGTTTACGTTTATGTGTACACGTTAATAAATCGATAGCATTTAAAATGTCATGCTGCGGTATAATTATGTGGACAGCAATAATTGTTATCTACGCTAATTAGTGGTCGCGCTAATAATCAAAGACGTCATTAAGTCGCAACTGTGTTGCTAGCGAAAAATTTCGTCGAGCCGCGCTCTGCGTCCCTCTGCTGCGAGATCTTCTTAATTGGACTCGATCGAGCGTTTATTAATATTCGTTTTGAAATTCCGTGGGAACCTCGTTATCGCGCTGAAGTTTACGGCCACTTGAATTTGATCTAATTTTTCAAAATAATTGGTTCATTTACGTCGTTCATTTATTCCAGCAAGCAGGAATCCGATATCTCTATTGCTTCGAGTAGTATTACTTTGAAAACGTAACACTAGTATCGAGACGAAAGAAAAAAAAAACAAACAAAACAAAAGAAATGTGTACGTGTACCTTCTTTCGCGAGGTAAAATCCACATTTTTCGAAATATTGAAGCTCATGAAAAATGCATGAACTCTATCTTGCCGATGCCATCAAGAGTGCCGGCGTCCTTGATATTGGCTTAATCGAACAAACCAGACCTTTGTGAAATTACAGCGAAATCGCGATATCGAGTTTATCAAGAGCTTCCGTTATCAGCCGAACGTGAATGCACGATATCGTGCGCGCGCGCGCGCGCGGCCGCTTATCGCTCCGTTCCGCACGCAGCGGGGCGTACACACGCGAGGGATGCAGGGCGTCACGACAGCGTGAGCGACAGAGAAAACGACCAACATAGAGCGGGCATTAGAA